TCATAACCGCCACCACCTTCTCCCCTATTGCCACTACCGTCACCGTCACCGCCATCACCGTCACCATCAACGCCATCACCGTCACCATCAACGCCATCACCGTCACTGACATCACCGTAACCGCCATCACCGTCACCGCCATGACCGTCACCGCCATCACAGTCACCGCCACCACATTCACCGCCATCACCGTCACTGTAACCGTCATCACCATCACCGTAACCGCCATCACCGACACCGCCATCACCGTCACCGCCATCACCGTCACCGCCATCACCGTCACCGCCATCACCGTCACCGTCACCGCCATCATCGTCACCGCCGTCATCTCCACCGCTATCATCTCCACCGCCGCGACAGTCACCACCGTCAGCGCTATCACCTCCACCGCCATCACCCCCACAGCCCATCCCCACGCCCCTGCCGAAACGTGCGTGTGCCATCCCAAGGTGCCGGCAAACCTTGGCGCGCTGACGCGCCTATCTAATCAGCCCCGCGCAAAGTCATTCCCGGCGCGCGCCAGTGGCGGGGGGGGAGTGGCGGCGGCGGCGGCCGGGGCGGCGGGGAGGGAGGCGTATAACAGCTGAGCGGCGGCGGCGGCGCGCGCTACAGCTGCCATGAGGACGGCGATGAGGACGCTTCTGTGCTCGCTGCTGGCGGCGGCGGCGCTTTGCGCGGGGACCACAGCGCAGGTGAGGAAGCGCTCGGGAATTTGCTTTCAGCCCAAGAATCTAGGGACAACGTGGTGAGGCACGTTGGTGACGTACAGCAGTAGTGTCCTGTAGGTTTACCGTGGCACTCGAGTGTTGTGAAGTATCCGCGGTGTATTGCGAAATTTTCAAATTTTCGTGCATCAGAAACTTTTGAGCCTACTGCAAAAGTGTATACCAAGTCCAAAAATACGCGCAAACTACTTGAGGGAAGTGAGTTGACGAGGTTGTGAAATAATAAGTCACGAAGCTTAAAAGTGTGCGCGTATTCAACACTGGATTTAAAAGTGAATTTCTGGAGTGAAATATTAGAATGTTATTAATAAAAGTAAAAATACTGTCAAACCATTCAAGTGAAATTAATTTCCGTAAACGGGACTGAAATCTGATACTTTTCTTTTTTATATTTGTTTTGCAATTGTTAAAAACCCATGGATGTTTCATTCCATTTTAACATTATTTAATTCTCTACGTACTTGTTTTTAAATCGTATTCAAAACTATTATAATCAATACGTGTCATATTTAATATAATTTATTTTTATTTCGACTAAAGTAACTAGTACGTCACGGTTGCAACTTATTTTTACACTGGGCAGAAGACCAACAGTGGCAGCTTTAAGACAAGGAAGTTCCGCTGCCTTCCCTGTGCGTCGTGCGTGTTTGGAGAATCATGATGAAGAACATAATGGTGTGACGATGACATTGCCAAGTGCAGTGATATTTGCGATGTGCCGACGCACGAAATGTGACATTCACGACACAGGGTTACATTTTAATTATTAAGTCTGTCCATGCGTTAATATAAGGTTCAAAAGAATAGACATCACTCTAAAATATTCATCTTGTGTGCTAATAAGAAAACAACAAAAAATGCAGTTATACTTACTTTTGTTAAATTATTAAAGATTTAACACGTGTTCTGGATATCTGTCAATAGACAGATAAGTTTCAAGAGCGCGTTTCACTTGGCAGAGTTACAATGTTCAACGACGAATTATTGAAAAAAAAAGTACTTGTCACTGAAACGTAATCCGTACAAAGTCCACGAGATGTCACATGAATACATTATCTCTAGAACATGGTTCGTAATCGTAAGAAGCGCTCAGGACATTGGAGGTTATTACAAGTGCTAGTATTGGTTCTGTCAAACACAATTATATCTGTACTACCTATCAATCTTAATAATTTTATCATGTCCCTTCTATGTAATATTTTCTAAGATTCTATTAAGGTCAATATGTAATCATGAAATAACGTCAACAAGCACATGCCACAACACCATTCTCACAATACAAATATGCAACGACAAATGTATACGGTGTTCACTGTAGTGAAAAGCAACTATAAATATCTACGTTAATACAGTGGCTAAATTTATATAATAGTTCTTAATTCGATAGAAAACATGATAAGCTATGACACATTGACCTTTCAACAACATGCTACACTTAACACATAGGATTCACTTGTCTTGCTTTCAATAAATAATATTTACTTGCTTCTGAGATATCTAAAGTTGCATAAATAAGGCAATAATATACAATGCTGATCAATGAAACATTTTTATTACTTCCACATACTTATACAATCAAAACCGCTTCAGTATTAAGTCACATCATTCACAAAGAATTTGTTTCCAGAGAATTTTCGATACACAAGATGAATTTTCATAATGGATACAAAATACAATTGTGCATGTCGTATTTCTGTATGATCAACAGCCGCCAAAACAAGCAACATCTGGTTGTTCCCAGCGAAACTTGTTAGTACAATCTTTGACGGTTCAAAGCTCCATTACGAAGCAGCTGTTTTGTTAGGCTTGTAAGACAAACACGCTGCAAAGAAAAACTGATAAGGCGCCGAGAAAGGTTACTGCATTAAAAAAATAGTAATTCCGAAATTGATGGCTTATTATTCATAGCTGAAAAGCGAGTAGCCAGTTTACGGTCGCCTGCCCAGTGCCTTTAATGGAACCGAATATAATTTCCGATTCAATATTATTTTTTAGTTCCAGGCAAGTGTACGCAAGTATAAGATAATACATGTGTAGGCTTTTAAAATGTGCAAGAAAACTTTTTCAATGTGGACCGTGTACAATGCAGAAATCCATCCACTGTAAGCCCAAACCGCAATGATGGTACGCTAATCCATGCTCTTATCTAAATCGGAAAAATAGTGGTCCCTTGTAATTCCGTTTGGAACAAATATTCCTGCATTTGGTATATTCAATTAAAAATAGTAATGTAAAGTATCACTAAACGAGTAAACTTTCGAATAAGTATCAATATAGCATTTCATTTGTAAATTACATTGTACTGATGCTTACTCTACGTATATTGTGACACATTTATATGTGAAATTATTATAAATTGTAGTCATGGTCGTTGAATTTATTATAAAACCAAACATATTATGCAATTATTTTCAAGGTACAAATTATTAATATAAGGATAAAATAGGTTTTTATACCCAATATATTCTTCGCACAACATTTTGAGATAAACGTTTCCTCATCTTGAGGCTGGAATTAAAAGTGAAAACTTTAATCTGTACCAACATACACAGTAATAAAATTAATCTCGATGCGGTGACGATTAATATAATTTCTTCATTAAATCTGTGTAAACCGTTAAACCTGACTACATAAACAATACTTGTGATTTTAAATAATAATTTCACTATCAAAAGTTTTAATTCGTTAATTATTTCTGTATCATTTACAACAAAACAGCAAACAATGAAATGGCGGCTACAGCTAAAGCTATAACATTACACGAATGCGTAAAGACATTTTGAAAAATGTAATGATTAAAATTCTGTATGGTACCCGACAGTAAAAATATTTTATTCCCTTTTTCCAATAAATGACCATGAAGCTCGACGTATAGAGGAGTTACTCAAAGAAGGGACTACTTTGTCAAGTCGGTAAACAAATGAACGTCATTCAGGGAAATTACATTGCAGATGATAGTTATGAAGCCATTTACAAAGAGCTAACTGCAAACAAACCTTCTAACAAAATATGTGCATGGACGTAACTTGCAGTGCTATTGCCAGCAATGACCATGTAGTAGCTGTAAAATCGGTCCCTTCTTATAAAACACAAAAAACCGTCACACCCAGACTTGACACATGTTTCTCTATGTAAGTTAACATGCTGAATCCGAATCTGAAGATGAAGCCAGAATGACGCCATCATTTTCCAGTTTTTTTAATGGCAACCCCCCCCCCCCGTGAAATTGTATTTTTAGTTTTGGAACGTTATTGTTGGACCCAAAGACTAGACACGTATTCCTCCATGTATATCGACGGGCTAAATCCAATTGTGAAGCCCTTACAGCAATACTCTCCAGTTGTTTGTAAATCGCGAAAAACAACCGTGAAATTGTAAATTGTAAATTCTGCGGTGATTTTTAGCAATTAATGAAATCTGGACGGTGCTGGCGCAATTCTGGCTTCGGATTCAAATTCAGCGCGTCGACCTACATACAGAAACACGTGTCAAGTCTTTGGGTCTGGCACCTTTTTTTTTATTTTTGCGTGCCTGCGTAACCGCCAGGACCGTTTTAACACCATTGAGTATACTTGGGCTTAGATTAATTTGGAAGCCCCTATTCTTTCATTCACCGGCCCCCCCACCGCCCCCAAAATACGATACTGAAGTGTAAAGAAAATCGTATTAAATTTCGTGGTATTTTGTATTTTTTTAAAAAATGTTTCTTAGTGTTTCAATTTAAGATGATGCAATA